GCTCTACCTGCCGGCCCTGTGGTTCCACCACGTCCGGCAGTCCCATGGCTGCATTGCTGGTGAGGAGCTGCTCGGTCACCTGTGGCAGGGCATCTGGGAGGCGGGTCAGGGAGGCTGGAGGTCAGAAGGGGGACCCTCGTGCTCAGGTCTCGTTCTCCCTGCAGTGAATTTCTGGTATGACATGGAGTATGACCTCAAGTACAGTTACTTCCAGCTGCTCGACTCCCTCACGAAGGCCTCGGGCCTTGCCTGATGGAGGCCTGGTGAATGAATATTGCCCATGACAACTTGTGGAAAAGGTTGCGCCCCTCCCGGGCCAGGTCCATTCTAGAGGCAACGTGGAGTCAGAGTGTGCTGGTTCCCGGCCCAGCTTGGCTTGCGACCAGCTTTGCAGGATCTCTGGAGGCTGACGGGAGCAGGAGGTACCTGCAGTCCGGGCGTGGCTCACCGGTGAGGCAGCAGCCTGCACTGGAGGAGGGGTGAGGCGCCAGGTGCGGCACGGCCTCACCTCCGTGACCCTGGGTGAGTGAGTGCCTCGGAGCATTGGGGACCTGTCTGTAAGACAGATAATGATGGTTCCTACCTCCGGATGTTGTGAGCACCGGAGATGGTATCTGTGAGGGCAGCAAGGCTGGCACAGAGGAAAAGCTCAATAAAAGATGGCTGTGATTTGTGTGTGCCCAGTCTTCCTGGCTTTGTCTCATTCCCCAGCTCCAGGGCAGCTGGTAGGCTGTGGTGCCCAGAGGGGACAGAAGCCCCGCCCCTCCTGAGACTTCCTCTGTGGAAGGAGTGGGTCTCCGAGCTCAGACTCCCTCCCCACCAACCGGGCCCTGGGGATGGGAGCCCCCTTTCCCGAGTGCCAGCCCAGAGGCCTCATCCCCCAGCACCAGCCCAGGGCTGGGGCGGCCGCTTTGAAGGGCTGTTTCAAAGAACAAACCCCGCCCCTGCCAGGTCATGATGGGGCCTGGGGCATTCCTCAGGTTGGCCAACCACTTCAGCCGGACTGGGTATTCCTGTCACACTGGCATTGGGAGATTGCAAAAGGCCCTGTCATGGGGGGCACGGCTCTTCCGTTTGCTGCTGCTCTGGGCCCATCCCCTGCTTTCCAGACCTAAGTGGCTCCCGCAGACCCCACCTTCCAGTCTCTTTCTGCTCAGCCTCGGACAGCGAGCTCTCCTGGGGGCCCCCTTTCCAGGTGAGAGCTGGGAGAGCAGGGCGGGTGGGGTGGGCACAGATGCCGATGGCCGGAGAGGACGGGTCTTTGGGGTGTTGAGCCCCCACCACAGGGAGGCCAGTGGTTTCATATGGGTTTAAGATGCTTCATTTCCTGTGCAGGTGGCTGGTCCAGGAAAGTGGGACTTGGGTGGAGCAGAGGCGGTGGGGAGGGACAAGGGAGGAGCTTGGAGCCAGCTGGGACATCCCTGGCTCTGGATCAAAGAGCTGACAGTCCTCAGTCCTCCGGCCACTGCCTGACACACCTGGTTCCCGAGGACTCTCCGCCTCATGGCTCTGGCAAGACAGGTAGGGAACTGGGCTCCACTCTAACCCCTGGTCCCCCCGAGGCCTGGTTTTTGCTATTTCTCAGCAGAGCTGTGGGCTTCTTGGACCAGGGTGGTGAGCAGACGCCAGGGAAGAGGCAGGGCGTTGGGATGAGGGACTGTCCTGAGTTCCTCCTGACCGAGGCGGAGGCTCCAGGTAGAGCTCCCTGGCGCCGTGGACGTGGGCCCTGGCAGCGCAGTCCCGGGGCCCCAGACGGAAGTGGCTGCTCCACTGCTCCTCTGACTCAGTTGCTTGGGGTGGGAGCCCAGGGCTGACACTGCTATTAGGTGAGCTTCCCCGGCCCTTCTCTGGACTCCGCCATCCATCAGGGCCCTCTCTGAGGCAGGACGCTCTCTGAGGCAGGGCTGGAGGCCAAAAGGAAGGGTTGGCTGGCACAGGTTTTCCCAGCTTGGCAACCTGCCAAGGTCACAGCCCAGACCCAGGGTTCTGGGTTTAGATGGAGCTGCCTGAGGACCATTGTTAGCCGGACCTTGTAGGACCTGAAGGACTTGACCACCTGTGGGCAGTCTGATCTGGTAATTGCTGTCCCCACTTTAGTAGCCCATTTCCAGAACTGTGCCCTGGCCAGCGGTGGAGAGTGTGTGTGTGCGGGGTGGTGGGGGGAGGCGCAACTCAACCAGGGGGTGCAAGGCCTGACAGTCTCTTTCCTGCCCCGCTGCCCAAGACCAGCCTGGGCTGCTCGTCCAGGGTGAGCTGGGGAAGCGGGTGAAAGGAGACTTAGTATCAGGGCCCAGAAGCGGGTTCGTGTGGGGATCGAGAGCACAGATCTGGAGCGAGCCTGGTCCGATCCTGGCCTTGAACCTCGGGCAAGTGCCTACTTAGCCTTCCTGTTTCGATTTCCTTGTGGGGTTGGTCGTCGGGTGGTGGTGTGATGAGATGAGTTCATGTACAAAATGGGTCCAGAGCCGGCCAGAGCGCGTGGAAGCGTTGGCAGGGGTCGCCAGCAGCTACCAGCCTCTTTCCTTCAGGCCGGTGGCTGGGCAGGGCTGGGCCTTTGGGTTCAGGACTGGGCCCCAGCCTCTCCTGAGGCCCTTGTCTCCTTTGGGTCTCGGCCTGCAGCAAACCTGTCCCTTTCTCTCTCCTCTGCAGGCAAAGGTGCCCGAGACTTGCCTGCTCACCATTCGTGTCCTACAGGCCCATGGCCTGCCCTCCAAGGACCTAGGTGAGTGCTGCCCAGGGCGGGGAACAGGCTGCAGTGGCGTTCGGAGTGGGCAGGGGCAGTGCGAAGAGAGGGGAGTAGGACTGGGGAGGGGGGGGCCTGGAGAGGGCGCCGAGGGGAGGACTGGAAAGTCACAGTCGGGGCTCTGCCTCTGCTCTTCTGCCTCCGACCCAGCCCCATTCCTGGTCTCCGGGTCTCCCGGGGCCGCCTGCGGTGGAGGGACAGGGCCTGTGGGGCCGGGCTGGGCAGGGCTCCTGGCGTCACCGGGTGCTCGCGCCTTCTTCCCACAGTGACCCCCCCTGACTGCTACGTGACTCTGTGGCTGCCCACGGCCTCCAGCCACAGGCTGCAGACTCGCACAGTGAACAACAGCAGAAACCCCATCTGGAATCAGAGCTTTCGCTTCCGCATCCACAGGCAGCTCAAGGTGGGCCTGGGGTCACCCGGCCCTTCTCACTGTCCCCGTCCACGGCCACTGCCCCCTCGCAGCCCCTCTTCCTGTCCCACCCTCCTTCCCACAGCCCCTCCCTCTTCCCCTTCCAGAATGTCGTGCAGCTGCAAGTCTTCGACCAGGACCTTTTGACCAGTGATGACCCGGTGCTGTCGGTGCTGTATGACGTGGGGACGCTGCGGGTTGGGGAGTTCCGCCACGAGCGCTTCCTCGGGAGCCCTCAGGCAAGGCTGCGTCAGGGCCAGGGAGGGCGATGCTTGGGAGGGTGGCTGGTGTGTGGCCCTTCTCCAGTAGCTACAGTCCCCCGAGAAGCAGTCCCATCCCAACCCTCCTTCTGGACACCTGAGCCCAGGGCAGCTTTCTTGGGGCGGCCAGGGAGGGACGGAGCAGCCTGGTGATGGACAGTCGCTGTCCTCCACGGGTCCCAGCCCCAGCTGCGTCTGGGTTGGAATCTGCTCTCCCCCCCATAACTTCCTCCTTCCCTCCCCTCGCCCCCCCGCCCCCTCACCCTTTCTAACTTGCTTCTTTCTCTGTCCAGGGCGAGGAGCAGCAGCTGGAAGTTGAATTTCGGCTGCAGAGTGTGTGAGTCGGGGGCCATGGGACAGTCCCGGGTGGGCGTGCTTCCTTCGGGAGGGACGGGGTGCAGGGCACTAGAGCTGACCCCACCCCTGGGGGACATCCAGCGGGAGAGGAGGAATGCCCGGCTTCCTTGGGGGGGCACCTGGGGACCTGGACCCCCGCTTAGGGTCGCTGGGGGCTCTTTTCAGGACCGACTGTGCCGAGCGGCTGGTCAGCAATGGCATCCTGGTGGTGAGTCTAGAACCCCTCCCTGCAGCCACCTGCTTGTCCTCCTCCCCGAGCTTCAGGCCCCCCATGGGGGTCGGGGCAGAGCTGGATGGGGGTCCCTGGGATTTCAGTTCCTCAGGAGGATACAGCCTCAGGGAGTGTTTGGTGCCTCAGGCCAAGGAAATAAAGGGCTGAGGAGCAAGAACCAGGGTGCTGGGCGGGTGGGAGCCTCTGACAGGCGGTGTTTACGTCGGGGCTCTCTCATGTCAGGCCCGGGAGGTCTCCCGCTTGCACGTTCGACTGGAGGAGGCTGGGGACCAGAAGGGTGAGTCCCTGACCCCCTGCAAGAGCCCTCAGCCCCTTCTAAGGGGGCCTTGCACTAGATGCCCTCTGCCCTCAGGCGGGAGCAGGGGCTTTCCCCCTTGTTCCTCAGGGGGGCTGCGGAGGGGGCGTTCCATCTCCAGCCTCGTCCTGGGCCAGACGCCCATCTCAGTGCAGGGAGGGAAGTGCCCGAGGCCCCGTAGGCAAGACCAGGGCCTCTGTGGGCTCAGATCCTGTTCCCAGCCTTTCTGCTCGTTCCTGTTTCCAGGGTCAGAAGGCAGAGTTCAGCTGGTGGTTCCCGGGTCCTGCGAGGGTCCCCAGGAGGCCTCGGTGGGCACTGCCTCGCGCTTCCACTGCCTGGCCTGCTGGGAGCCGGAGCTGAGCATCCACCTGCAGGCATGTGCCATGGCTCCGTGAGGCTGCAGAGCCTTTCCCTCCTGCCCTCAGCACCTGCTCCCACAGTCCCGCTGCTCACCTGAGCCCCCAGCCCCCCTGGGAAGAGTCAGCCCCCTGGGAAGGGTCAGCCCCCTGGGAAGGGTCAGCCCCACTGGGAAGGGTCAGCCCCCCTGGGAAGAGTGTGAGGCTGACGTTGGCCTCGTGGCCCCCTCCTGCTGCTCCTGGCCCTCCCAGCAGCACTTGGTGGAGTCCTTGCGGGGAAGGAAGGGTGGAGAGTCTTAGTTCTTCTTTCATGCTCCTGCAGGATGCCCCCCAGGAGCAACTGAAGGTGCCCCTGAGGGCCCTGCCCTCTGGCCAAGTGGTGAGACTCGTCTTCCCTACGTCCCAGGTACTGGTCACCGGAGGAAGGAAGCCAGTGGCACAGGCAGGGCCGGCTCAGGCCTTGAAGGGCTGGCCTGCGTCAGTGCAGCTCTGTCCTCGAGCCACACCCTGGATAGGTGCTGGACCAGGCCCTGGGGCGGGTGCTCTGAGCCTCCCTGCTTCAGGTGTCAGGCCCGGCCCCCGGGAGATGGCTGTGGGCCCAGGGAGCATGGGGACATCGTGGGGTGTGGCTCGGGCTGGGATGAGAGGAACAGGTGCCCACCTTTGTGACTGGAGCATTCATGTTTTCAGGAACCGCTGATGAGGGTGGAGCTGAAAAAAGAAGAAGGGTGAGAGGCTGGGCTGGGCACCGGGAAAGGTTGGGGGAAAGCAGCTGGGACAGGCCGATGGTCAGGCACTCCGCCTGGAGGAACGGCGAGCGAGGTGGGGGGGCTCCCACGGCGGAGCACGTGTGGGAGTCTGAGCAGACAAGGGCTCTTTTTCACATTTTGCATTAGTTGGAGGGGTGTGTGCCTAGCCCTGTGCCTGGCACTTAGGAGGCACTTGATAAACGTTTGGCTGGAAAACAGGTGGGAGGCGAGGAGAGTGATTTGAGGCACAGAGAGGGCGAGGAGA